CGATGCATCACCCAGTCGATCAAGAAGTTGAAGAGAAATGGGTGGAGAGGGCACCTTTGTCGAACTCCACAAGTCAAAGGGAAAGAATTCGACTCTTCACCAAGGGTTCTTACTCGGACTGATGTTAGGCTATAGTAAGCTTTGATCAAATTGAGCAACTTTGGTGGGAGACCGCCAGCAAGCAAGATTTGCCACAAAGCTTCTCTGTCGATAGAATCGAAGGCGGTCTTGAAGTCAATGAAACAGGTGGTGGTGACCTGTTAATTTTGATGTCTGTGCTTCAGTATGTGGTGTGGAATGCAGATCTGGTCAATATATCTTCTACCTGGACGAAATCCTCCTCGGTTGGGACAAGAGCGAAGATTGCGCTCAGTCGAAAATCTACGGAGAAGGGTGGTCGCAAATACTTTGGCGGCTATATCTATAAAGGCTGATGCCGCTTTAATTTTAGCATAGTGTCATGTTACTGCGCTTCGGTATTGGTAAGGTAATGGACAGTGACCAGTCAGTAGGGATGACTTCGGTAGTCCATATAGTTAAGTACAGTCAGTGTAGTGATTCTGTCGAAGCAAAACAATTAGTTTTTAGGCTTCTGCTGAGATACCATCTACACCCGCTGCCTTCCGAACTTTCAGTAGTTGCAATACTGATTCCAGTTCAGTTCTCGTAGGAGACGCACAGTCACTATCGTATGAATTCCAATTGATAGCTGTAGGCTCGCAGGTGAACGTATAGGCGGATCCAGTGGTTCACTAAAGTGCTCTCGCCATCGATCGATTTTGCCAGCCGTATCAGTTATCACTTGGCCCGACTTATCCCGAACGGAAGTGCAAGGCGGTTTATATTTGCCATCTGCTTTACGTAAAAGATAATAGAGCTGGTGGAAAATACCAAAATATGAAACTGCTTCCAAGAAGCCAGCTAACTCGATCCAATGCTCCTGATGGTCGCATCTTGCTGATCGCGTAGTTTGACGTCTCAATGAGCGGTAGTTCACCGAGTTTGACAACCGAGCGATTTTAGCCTGTGCCGAGAGATGGAGGGTCGTTGTGGAGATCCAGTCCTTCCACGGTAAAACCTGTTGTTGCAAGCTCGAATTCATCGCATAATGTAGTGCGTCTCTCAAGTGTGGCCATTAAGTATCGGGCGAAATTTGGTTATCGACGTTATCTGGAGGTTTGATGTGAAGAGTGGATTTATCTCTGATTCGTGCAGGCAGACTTTCGTTGAACGCTACACGGGTTTCTGTGTTTGATAGTGCCATAACGTTGACACGTTTTGAGGACAGTTTCTTACTGTTATTCGACAATCGGTGCTTAAAGCGGGCACGGATAAATACATGATCTGATCCAACTTCCGTACCTCAAAACGATCGGCTACTGAGATATAGTCTATCTGGTTTACGATTGAGCTACTTAAATATAGTCTATCTGGTTTGCCATTCGACCATCGCTTGAAAACCATGTTAGCAAATGCCGATTGGGGTGTTGGAAACGATTGTTTGTAAAGACAAGATGATTATAGTCAGCAAATGTTACCAATCGTGTTTCCGTTGTCGCAGCGTTCACCCAGTGCATATTTACCGATTATGCGCCTCGGTCTCATCGCACGGGCCAGTCCTGGTATTCCAGTCTCCGGCGACGAAGAGCATGTCTGTAGGGGATATCCTGGCCACTGTAGCTTGAAGGCGTTCATAGAACTCAGTCTTAACTGCTTCACCCGCTTGCGATGGTGGGGCATAAACGGCAAACACAGACATCAATGCGATGGTGCCTTTGAAGCGGGCTGTGGTAATCCGCTCTGAGATAGGCGAATTCACTGAGATGCATCTTTTTGCATTATCACTAACCCCCACTGGACCTGTAGTAGGTCGTGCCTGGCCGGCTAGCTCGCGTCGAAGTGCATTTTCCCAAAGGCTCACCGATGCGGTTCTTCGACGTCTCGATCAGCCAATCACAGTCCCCGCATCTACGCGGTTTGGGCC